TAAGGAGGTTAAGTAGATGCTATCTTTTAACAAATAGTTTCTCCAGACTGTATTACAACTTTATGAATGACAAAATAAATCCCTCATTTTTAAATCTACCATGATGCACATTTAGCAAAATTACATCTATGAAACCTCAATATATGTACTCTATTATTCATACGTAATAAAAATGTTAAACTCAAGCTTAGTGTCTGTCACAGAATGACAAAAGCCAGATAACCAAGCACTAAGGCCACCGCTTGATTTTCAGAGCCCCACATGCTCTCAGCCGGCTTTGGGGGAAGCAGCCCCAGGGTGCTCGGCGACGGGACCCACAGCACCACCTGCCAGGGCCAGGCGGCTGGGCAGTGGCCAGCTGTCCGGGTTGCGTCACCAAGGCTGTCCCGCCCCTGCCTCCCGCACAGGCCAGTAGAAGGTGGGTTCCCCACAGGGGCGTGACTCTCCTGGGAGTCTCCAGGGGGGTCTCCAGGAGGCCCACCTGGGCCACCCCAGGGCAGCCTCAGCTACCATCAGCAGGTCTGGGGGCCACTGGCACCCAAGAAGGAACAAGGACCCGGCTTAGAGTGACCAAACAACCTCGGTCCACAAGCCCAGTTCTAGAAGATGTGGGGGAACAGAGGGGAGCGAGGGCCCTGTCTGGCTCCCGAGGAAACTCCCAAGCCAGCGGGGAGCAAAGCCCTTCAGAAGAGCAACCTGAATGCCAAGCGCGCAAAGGGAAAGCCCACGTCAGAGGCAGCGGGCGAAGGGGCGCCCGTGGGGAGCCCCCGGCGCGGGCCTGCGGTGGGGAGGCAGCGCCAGCAGCGTGGGCAGGACGCGGGAGGCGTGTGGTCAGAGACGGATGGGAAAGCGAGGCCCTGCGGGGGACTCCACCCCTGCGTCGCAGCTGGGGGGCACCGACTCCCAGGGAAAGGAGCAGAGGCCCAGGTGGGAGCGGACATGCCCCCGTAGCTCTCCCAGGAACGCGGTCTCGGGGGGAGCCCGGGGTCGGGGCTGGGGAGGGCTGTCGCAGGTGAGAGGACGACGCACCTGCCAAGATCCCAGCCGGCCAGGGTGAGCAGATGACCATGCGGGGGTGCTGGCCACGGCTCGCCCCGCATCCTGACGGCGCCCCAAGCCCCGGGGCCCCCGGGCCGGCGAAGGCAGCCGCCTCCCCAGCACCAGCACCGCACCCAGCGTGGCGAGGGAGGAGCGCACGGCAGGCCGGCTCGGCCTCTCCCGCCCCGAGAGATGGGCAGAGCTGCCCGCGCCAGGACCCCGTGCCGATGACCCAGTCCGCGCTTCCACGCGTGCCCAGACCCGCCCTGCGGGATGCGAACCCTGGAAGGTGATTCCTAACTGTGGAAACACCGTGCTTCAGAAGCGCTGGGACGGCCACCTGGGAGCAGACACACGTGCCGCAGCGGGGGAGCCGACCGGCCCTGCCACACCCGCCGCCAGCTCGGACCCCGCCGGCCGCCCGTCAGGGATGCTCTGCAGAGGCCCCTGCCAGGCGGCAGCACGTGCCTGCAGCGCACGAGGCGCTGAAAAGGTTCCAAAGAGAACAAGAGTCGCAAGTGAAGGACGGCAAGACGACCCCAGGCCCCGCACCAGCAACGCAGGACCAGAGGACCCCGCGGCCACACCCTAAGATGCTGAGGGAGGTTCCTGCCCGCGCCGTGTACATGGAGTCCCGTGGGCCCCGTGCCCTGCCTGGGCGGCGTACACAGTCCCTGCCGGCCCTGCACAGGAGTTTCCACTGAGGGCCCCGCTCTGGACCCCCTGCACCCGTTCCCAGGGCACCGCCAAAGGCCAGCAGCACTCAGCCTTCAGCCTGGGTCTACAGGGGGAGCCAAGCCCCACCAGCTCTCCCAGACGCCCCTGCCTCCCACCTCCCCTGCTCGGACTCTGGGTCTGGTTCCCCTGATCGATGGACTGAGGCCCGTCCCTTGAGGCCCACTACGGGACTGCCAGCGCAGCCCCGCTGGACTCGGGGTGCTGCAGAAGGAACGCTCTGTATCCCGTGCCAGTTACCCAACGAAAACTGGAAATGATCACGAGTGTCGCCGCTCACTGTGTAAACTGAGAGACTCTGTCAGGGCGATCATCAGCTGTGACTGACAGCATCACCTCGTGTCTGCCGGCCTGGGAGCCTCTGTGAGGGCAACCGGTTTTGAATGTCCAGAGTGCAGACAAGCTACATCAAGCATATAACTTGTATTTTGTGTGTCCTTACCTTGTCCTCCCACAGACCTGCAGGAGGTGAGGGCCCTACCAGGAGACTCTTCTTCAACTGTATTTTTAAATGTCATTTTAAAAATGTTTTATCCTATTGGTAGGTTATTCATCTATTAGCAACTAAATTAAAAAAAATCTGCACATATCCCACTTACATAAGATAAGGGTATGTTGATATTTTTGGTGCTTTATTAATAAGTTTTAAAATACAGTAACAGGGATTATCAGTATATTTTTATCTAACTTTTGAAAGCTGTAGATGCCCTACCTGTGCTCCCGGGAAGCCGGTCAGTGCACACGCCACTGAGGAACTGATACAAGGTGTCCAAAAACATTAAAACTTAACAAATGTTAACCACCCATCCCTGGGCAGTAGATAGAGAGAGAATGGTTCTGTCCTAAACTGGAATGTCATAACCAGTTAAAATGAGTCACCTAGGGCTGCTCTTATCAACATGAGCTAAATAACCTCAACAATGTAGCGGCACTCGACAATTTTGATACCAAACCGTGCCGTTTATATAAAATCTTTCCATAGGAGAGGAACAATTTTCAGTATAACGTAAGACCGTGTGCAAACACATGCACATCACCATGGTCTGAGGAGATGGCGTGCTCTGAGGAGAGCCCGGGTGGGCGTCTGGGCAGCGCTAACAGTCACATGAGTCTGCTGTCGTTGAAGTAAAAGTGACGAACCAACATATAACATCTTCCAAAGTGCTTCCATCATTTCTGAATTTTTTCATAATTCAAAATGAATTTTTTAATTAAACAAACAATATTCCTTTTCTTCACTTTGTGACATCTTGAACCAGTCTTGGCAAGCTCACAAATCACATGAATTCACATCTGCAAAAATCACAGCACTGAGCAAGAGCTGGGGTGCTAACAAATGAAATTTTAATAAGGGTAAGCTAAAATTTGTCAAAATATTAAATAATCGTGCAGTTATTATCTTTCAAAACTGTGAAACAGAGGTGTTGACTGATTCAAAATTATCATTGCCAAGGCCGAGCTGACAGCCGCGGCGGGGGCGTATGGCAGCCCCGGACGCGCTCTGTGGGGACAG